GTGTGTGCAAATGATTAATATAAGATATAATAATATATTAAGATATTAATAAAGAAATATATAAATAGATACAGGGTGACACTGTCAGAATTCACTGAATGCTAAACGCCACATAGGATGTAAATAAGATATTTGCAGTTCTGAGAGCTTCATATCACGGAATCGTGGATTGCGATAAATTGAAGTGACTGACAGCCTTTTGGTGATTAACGTTAGATGAGAGCGCTATTTGCTCGCTTTCTAGGCTATAATCGATTCAGAATTTAAATAAAAGTTGTTTTACGTGCTGCTAACAGGACCAAGAGCCACATGCCCTGTAACTTACATGCAGCAAAATTTCAGGAGTGACATATTCCACATCCCTCATATAAATACGGGATTCACTTTCGAAATAGTTGCTTAGCCTATATCCACCGCCTCAATATATGGCAGGCAAGTATTTCAATTTGGTTTAAAAATCGCTCCTCTTCCTAACATATGGATCACGTCCAACATATGTTGTGATTATAAATACCTTTCTCTTGTAATAGCGTGGTGGTTGAAGAGAGATCCCCTCATGATTGTCAAGCACGGTGGGTGTGCAGCAATTCAATGAAAGCGCTATATATATATATGCATATGTGCCTCATGCCTAAAACAGTACATTACGGACTTTCCTCCATCTCATCTGTTCTTTTTCAGTCACTCCTGAAACTTTGCTGCATGTACAGGTTAAGTGGCTGTTGGTCCTGTTAGTAGCACATAAAACAAAACTTTTATTCAAATTCTGAATCGATTATAGCCTAGAAAGCGAGCAAATAGCGCTTCCATATAATCACTAAAAAGCTGTCAATGATTTCGGTGTATCACAATCTCACAATGTTCCATTATAATAAATGAAGCTCTCCAAACTGCACAATGAATCTCTTATTTGGATTGTGAGTATGTGTGGCATTTATCAGTGAGTGAATTCTGACAGCCTTCTTCTATGCCCTCGTTTTCCACTAATACTCCAACTCGCTCCACTTATGAACAACACATTTTCGTACACGATAAAAGCTCCGTGTGGTTTCTCGGTCTGGCTGATTTGAGCATCCATAAACAACGCAAAACACAGGCATTTTGGAGTTTCTGCGGAGAGAAAAATCACTTCCTGCCCTCCAGCGGCATTTCGCGCGTCATCAGTGACGTCATGTGCAAACAACCTATTCCCATTTGTAAAATAGCCAACAAATTAATTGTTGTAGGCTAACCCGATCTCATGAAAGTGCGTATAGCACGATTTTCTGCTTCTATTTTGGCGTAATATTTCTATGCAGAAATTGACTTTGGCATGCAAAAGACTGATAAATTCATAATTAACGGC